CAACTTTGCACTTATTTGTATGGTTGCGTGTTTAGCATCTGTCTCGCCCGTCAGGCTCAGTCTGGTGGTGGCTGTCCTGTAGCTGCCTGTTGCTCACCACCTCACGGTGCCCGCTGCAAGGCCGGTGCTCAGAACAGAGTTGTCAAGCCCAGAGTTGTCAAGCATCAGCAAGAGGCTTGTGCAGGCGTCGCCCTCTCCATCCCTTTGCAGAGCTGCCATTTGGTTTTTCTGATACTGAGCTGCTTATGTATTTTGGAGATGAATCCTGTGTCAGTTGCTTCATTTGCAATTACTTTCTTCCGTGTTGAGGGTTGACTTTTCGTCTCATTTATGGTTTCTTGGGCTCTGCAGTGCATTGCAGTTTTTCTAACCCAAAAGGGAGCCCACACCTCCTTGTGCCAAAAAGTAAAGTCATTCCCTCAGCAGAGTGCAGTTCCCACGGAAGCGAGATGTGCATGCAGTCAGCTTCCCTCAGTGCTCTCAGCTTTGTCTCCTTCTGTAATTAAGAAATATCAGCCCGTGAAGTTGGTGGTGGCTGCCACTTCGTGTAATAGAACTGCAGCTGTTGCCATGTTTTTCTGATTTGTTCTCTTTCTGGTTGGTGAGAATCTGGAGCTGCAGGGTGCGGGGGGGAGCCTATTAAAAATGTTTCAAGTGAACAAATTTCAATATTTGAACAATGGTCATACACCAACCGGAGATGTAAACCATACATTCATGTAAACCCCACACACACGTGCCCCACCAGGAGGAGACATGCTTTCAGAGCTGGGACAAGCAGAAACTCTTGACTACAGGGTCAGCAAAGCAGCACCTGATTTGGTTGACAGGCACCCGGCACGTGCACCTGTGAGAAGCTGGGCAGTAGGGCGGGGCAGAGACTGGACAGCAGCCACGCAGGAAAACTCTTTGGGGCCTGGCTGAGCTGCGTGAAGGCACACGTTTTCAGCTGGGGTGACAGTGCCCCTTTAAAGGTAAAACCTGTTCTTAAAGGACAAGAGGTCTCAGCCATCACAATGGCTTGTGGTCCTCCACGCGGCCACAGAACATACCACTGGTCCCATAGGCGTCTTTGGTAAGATTGCATGAGAGGAAAGGGGCAATTGATGGGGGGGTGGCATCTAAAAAGGCTCCCCGGGGGGTGCTGATGGGGAGAAAGGCTGAGAAGCACTGGGTGGGGGAGAGCAAGTAGGGGAAAGACAGACACTGGATTCAGGTGGGGACAGGGGAGAGGCCAGACCACAAACCCAGGGAGGAGGCAGCTCCTCCAAGACAGGTCAGGGAAAGCGGCAGGGGGCGGCTGCGGGGAGCGTGAGGCTGGGAAGAGGCTCTGATTGCCGGGGGAGGCTGGGGAGGGGAAAGACAGACACTGGATTCAGGTGGGGACAGGGGAGAGGCCAGACCACAAACCCGGGGAGGAGGCAGCTCCTCCAAGACAGGTCAGGGAAAGCGGCAGGGGGCGGCTGTGGGGAGCGTGAGGCTGGGAAGAGGCTCTGATTGCCGGGGGAGGCTGGGGAGGACGGGGACAGCAGCGCCCAGGAACAGGAGGAAGAGCAGCCAGACCTTCCTCTGACCCGGTCCAGCATGCCCGATCTGACCCAGTGTCTCCGCAGACTCCTCAGACCTTCGTCCTAAAGGGTTTGCCAGAAGATCGGGGAGGCCTCTGTGAGTCCCAGGTTGCTGCTGAGCAGAGAGGTGGGGCCCAGTTCTGTGAGAGTCGACCGCAGAGGGTCCGCTGGTCTCCGTGGTCTTGCTTCACAAAGGCGAGAGAGGAGTTGGTATTGGGCCAGGAGACTTCAAGAAGAACAGTTTTCTTCCAAAAGCACTTGTTGACCCTTCCCATGTGCCCGGCACTGTGTTAGTTTGTCAGTGTTGGGTCCTTACGGAAGGAGTTCAAACACAAGACAACAGCTGTTTTTAAAACGTGGAATTTTTAAAGACCCTGGTGCAAGGACAGATTGAGGGCAAAAGGAGAAGGGGCAGTAGATGATGGTTGGATAGCATCACTGACTCGAAGGATGTAAGTTTTTAATGGAGTTTGAGTAACAGCTATTCCTGCCCACAGGGGTGTGTGAGGCCAGGATGGCGTGCAGCTGAGGCTCTGGGAGGACTTACCCTTCTCCAGAGAAGGGCCTGAGCCCCCGAGCCCCCATCACTGCCTCCTGGATCAGCCATGTGACCCAGAGTTGCCCTGGCCAGCAGTTCCTTCCCTAGCACAGATAGTCCAGTCCGCTCTTTTTTTTTTTCAACTTTCAAAAATATTTAAAAAATATTATCTGATTACAAAATATAATAATAAAATATTGATCTTTGTAATAAAGTCAGCACAGTAAACACATATTAAAATCACCCTTCATTCCTACCACCTAGAGAAAAGTCACCATTAAATTTTGGTTTGTGTCTTGCAGAATTATTCTCGGTAAACATACACAAGGTTTTTTTATTTTTATTTATTTATTACAGGAATTAATAGGAATTGTAGAGTGTGCACAGTTTTACCTTAATATATCCTAGATGGCTGTCCATGTCAGTACATACCATATTTTACGCCGGGTTTCAGTCCATAGACCAAACACCTTTTTTTAATAACTTCTGTTTATCTCTTCATGGCTGCGCAGGGCCTGGTTGCTGTGCGGGAGCTCTTCTCTGCGTGGTGAGCGGAGAGCGCCTCTTCGTCTGGTGTCTGGCCGCTCACCGCGGTGGCCTCTCTCGCTGGGCGCGCGGGCTCCAGAGTGCAGGCTCAATGGTTACAGACTTGGTCGCTCCACCACATGTGGGGTCTCGCCAGATCAGGATCGAACCCGTGTCTCCTGCGCTGGCAGGCAAATTCTTTACCACTGAGCCACCAAGGAAGCCCCCATAGACCAAACATTTTTAGCCACGGCCTAGTGGTCAGCACCTAGGCTATGCCAGCATCTCACCATATAAACAGTACGAGGTCTGTAATCCTGAAATACACATTTTGTACCAATATCTTACGTTGGTATAAATCCTAAGAGAGAAGTAACTATAAGAAGGGACTTGCACCTTAAAATCTTGATGCCTGTTGCCATCCCACTTCCTAAGCGGAACTGTTCAGTATCCACAAGAAGTGCTGGGACCTACACAGGACAAGAGCAGATCCCTGCCGCGGGGAGAGAGGGGGGCGACTGGACAGGCTGGAAGGGAGCCCGGTGGGAAGAAAGGATTTGAAGAAATATAAAAATACAGTAGCAGTTAAGTCCATACTGGGGACAGGAAAGCATCGTATTGACGTTGTAGAAGGTGGGGTTCAGAAATGCGGGAGAGAAGCTGGGTCCCTTCCCAGATAATGAAGAAAAGGACGAAGAAGAAAACGGGAAGGGCCACGACCAAGGATTCATAGGCTTAGATTGAAAAAGCTGCCTCCACGTGAAAAAGAACAACAGTCAAGCGCACCATCAGAGGAAATGCTTGGAGAGGAAGAGGTTCTGGTAGGCAGGCCAGAGACGTCCGGTCTGATCCTGGGTGTGTGTGGCAGGGTGGGGTTCTCTCTTGTACTGTTCAGCTGCTGAGGGGTCTCTGATTCTTTGTGACCCCAGGGACTGCAGCAGGCTTCCCTGGCCTTGAGTGTCTCCCAAGTTTGCTCAAACTCATGTCCATGGAGTCGGTGATGCTGTCTAACCATCTCATCCTCTGCCGCCCCCTTCTGCTGGCTTCAGTCTTTCCCAGCCTCAGGGTCTTTTCCAGTGAGTGGGCTCTTCATCTGGTGGCCAGAGTGCTGGAGCTGGGGCGGGGTCGCTGACAGTGGACCCGTGACAGAGCAGGGCTCTTCAGGTGTGAGTCTGTATCCCTCGTGAGGGATGTGACCTGCACGTTTACTCTGGGGAGCCCGCTCCCTCGGGCTTAGCTTCCTCCTGGGCGTAGCCGGACGCATGTGGGGAGAAGACGGCAAGGACTCCCAGCAGAATACGAATGTGGTTATCTGTGAATAGGGGAGCGGTGGGTGGTAATTTTTTCCTCTTTATTTCCCCAGAATTTCCATGAGAGTAAACACTTTCCTGTTGGATCAGTAGGCTCTTCCTTCCCTTCTGCTCCTTAATGCTTCGTCCACTCGGGTGTTGAGCCAGGGCCAGCGGGGGAGGGGGAGGAGGAGGAGGGGGGGAGGGGGAGGGGGTGGGGGGGAGGAGGAGGGGGGAGGGGGAGACCCCGCCTCGGGCTCAGCGGCTCTGCTCTTCACGCTCCTGCTGGCTCTGACCGGGGCGGGCACGTTCCGGGCCAGGGAGCCGCGAGGTGGTGTCATGTGCCTAAGTCCCTTCAGGCGCGTCCAACCCTTTGTGACCCCATGGACTGTAGCCCGCCAGTCGCCTCCATCCATGGGATTCTCCAGGCAAGAGCACTGGAGTGGGTCGCCAAGCCCTCCTCCAGGGCTCTTCCCAACCCAGGGATCAAACCTCTGTCTCCTGGACTGCAGGCAGATTCTTTAATCACTGAGCCGCCGGGGAAGCCCGAGGTGGTGTCTGATGCACAGAAAAGGCAGGGGTTCACCAGGGGCAGGCGGATCCATTCCTCAGCTTGACTTCCTCAGCATCTCTTTTAAGTCCCTGTGTTTTGCCCCTTTGAAAGAAATTCCACTTTTTTTTTTTATGGCTATAAAATCTGATTTTCAGCAACAAATTTGGATCTCCGCAGTCTTGATGGATGTACCCTGTCTTTTCTGTGAAACATAATTAAATTTCTTGATAAGTCAATAGCAGATGAAAAAAAGTGTTGTTCTCCACTGTTGCTAATGTATGAAGGATAATTAAAACTCATAAATAACCATAAAGTCATTTGCCTTCGGTGATAACATCTTTAAGCGTGTAACATCTTAACAATTTAAAGGCTTCATTCGATATCCCCTTGGACACAGAGCCCATTTTCTGGGAAAGGGTTGTGAATAAATTTTACTTACGTTCTTTTTATAGTGAGACGTTATTACTCAGTGGTAATATGCAACATAGCTTGTGGTGGTGATCGCTGTTTTATCTTTGTAATTACAGACGTACCAAGTGGATCTGAAGCCCAGCGGGTCAGAAATAATGGTGACGAACGAGAACAAGAGAGAGTACATAGAGTGCGTGCCCCCGGCCCTGTCTTCGCTGACTCGGGCAGCGCGCTTGGCGGCCGGCCCTCGCCAGAGCACCGGGCGCATGTCGTGGGCGTCCTTCTAGCAGCCCGGGTCCTTTCCGGCTCGGGCTCATGGAGTGGAAAGTGTGGCTTGTGTCATGGCTTCTTGGAGCTGCCAGACGGAGGAGCAGTGGGAGGAGACGAGGGTCCTCGTGGAGTGACGCGGCAGATGCTCGGGGAGCCAGTGGGCACCCGTCTCAAACTGAGAGTCGTGGCGATGCAGCGCAGGGCCCATAGCCAGCTGGGGTAGCACCGGCAACAGCCAAAGAGAAGACACTGCGTCTCTCTCCTGGCCGCTTTTCCGTAACGAGAGTGTAGGAAAGGAGTTTAAAACGGACAGGGAGGAGTGAGCAGATGCTGAAACATCGCTCCTGATGTGTGTGGTCTTCTTTACTCAACCTCTTCAGCCTCCATTGCTGGAACAGACTGTTGAGTCCTTTGGAAGTGTAGGACATCAGTGCTGGGCAGAAGTTCTTTCTCTGTGGGGCAGCTTACGTTTTCCTCTCTGGTGTATACGTGTGCCTCACGCACACCGTTCTGGCATCCTCCAAGGATCTGTGCCCCTTGGGCACAGGGGCAGGGTCAGCATAACGGTGGTTGGCTCCCAGGGTCTTAGTTTCTGGTCATCTAGTGAGTTACAGCCACGGCCTGAACTCCCTGTTTGCATTCAGAACATCACCTCAACAAGCCAGGTTGCCTCCTCTCTCGTTATAATGGGTCACAGGGCCTGAGAGAACTGGCCGAGGATCTCAGCATCCTTCCCTAGCATCTGCAAAGAAAAGCCTATTGTCTTTTCTAATTAGGAGGAGTTGGAGAGTGTTAAGTCCCTACAGACCCTGACGAAGGACAGACTTCTCCACTCGCACTTTCGAAAACTTGCTACTCTTAGTCAAAGACTAGGAGTAAGATACGACAGTTCTTGCCTGTTTGCGTTAATTGGCACTTGTGCTGAACTTGGACAGTCTCAGCAAGTAGATGGATTCCTAGCAGACACCATTGTCTTCCATCAGAGAGCACAGACTTGGAGTCGATTTTTAACAGCCCTCCACCCCAGGGCGACTAGGGTCAGAAGTCAGAGGGTTTGGACCTTATGATACATGCACTGCATCTTTCTTTGCAGTTACTTCTTTGAGGTTTCAGGTTGGGGGTTAGGGGCAGGGCCTCAGGCAGCGTCTCCACTGGCTTCACCGCCAGAAGTCGGATTGAACTCCCAGCTTCTCCCTGCCCCCTGCATCCCCCGGCGCAGTAGGAGGCTGTTGGGCTGGTGATTGCAGCACAGCCAGGGAGCCCCAAAATGCTGAGCAGTGGGCAGGTGGCAGGCTGGTCCCTGGGTGCCGTTGCCATGGCGCCCCCTCATAAGTGAGAGCCCTTGGTGACAAGGTCCCTGTGCTATTTCACGACAGAACACCTTAGGTGGACTCCAAAGCGGATTCGCTTGGTAGTAAATGCTGCTATACACTGAACATTTTCACAAGGAGCATGGTTTCAGTGGATTTCTGTGACTCACAGAAGTTTATTACCACTAGTCCTCCAAATATTGGTATTAAAGTAATAATGTTAGTGGTAAAATGCTGATAAATTGTATGTCTTTGTTGAAAACCAGCACATTGGATTCTAGAACAAAATATCATATGATCACATATGTCGTGCTGGGTGATCACATATGTCGTGCTGGGTATTCCCCTTAAAAATATGTACATGGTTGTATGTAAGCGTGGGTATGTACATCTTTGGGTTTGTGTGCACACGTTCATTATGCCCAGGTAGGTTTGTATTCAAGGCCCATTTTCCCTTTTTTCTGGACAGTCACATTTATACAGCAGCTTTGGTAAAGTGAGGCTTGGTGGCGGGGACGGGGAGGAAACCAGTGTCTTTTTTTTTAAATCCCCAATGAGATTCGAGGCTCCACGTGTGCCCCTGTTCTCGAAAGCATCCAGGACTCAGCCCCAGCGGCCCCTCTCTCCTTGGCCCGCTTTGGACCCGGCTCCTCCCCTGCCCGAGAAGCTGCTGCAGTGGTGAAGGAGTGAAAGCAGGAGGTGGTTAACTGCTGTCTGTTTCTTCCCGCAGCCTAGTCATCCAGTGGAGGTTCGTGAACAGGGTCCAGAAGCAGATGAACGCCTTCCTGGAGGTGAGTCAGGCTCACTGGGAGCCGGGCCTGCGCCCTGAGGTTGGGAGAGGACCACCCCCCTCCTGGGGGTGGGCACGAGGTGGGAGACCATCACACGTCCCACACATGGGTGCAGGTGTGGGGACCCCCTCCCACTGCCTGCAGCCCCAGGACAGGAGTGTCCGTGCGGCCCTGCCGCCCTCCATTTGTTGGCGTTGGTTCAGGGTTTTCTGGCTTTGCTGCTCTTAGTTGTTAATTCGCCGTGACTGTTTTTAAAGGGAAATCTTTACAGACTTGATCCAGAAGGGCCGGCTCCCCGGCCAAGGCTAGACCCATCGCCCTGCAGTTTTCAGTGGTACCCAGGGAAGGCTGGGAGCATCTTGGTGTTTTGCTGTGGTGACCGCAGGTGCTGAGAAATGTGAGGACCTGGGCAGTTTCCATTCATACCATCCCTCCCCAGTAGCCGTGCCTTCCCCTTCATCTGCCGAACATTTTTTTTTTTTAATCCCCTGCCCTTTCTTCGTGGCTGGCTGAACAGCTCCTCACCCTATTAAAGCATGAAGCAGTTACTTCTCAGACCCGGGTAGTTAACGTCAATGATGCCACCAGGCCCCTGAGGAGAGAGGCCTGTCACAGAATAGGGGTTCATCATTTTTTATAAAATTGCTTACTGTGCCCCAAAGTGCAGTTTCTTTTTAAGTCCTAATAACTGGCTCTAGTTACTTAAAGAGAATGAACCCCAGGTGTCCACTCCAGGCTTCCGTTCTCACTGAACCGATGCCGGGTTCTTGTTGGGTGATGCTCTTAAGCTCACCCCTCACCCAGTTACCTGCTCATGGTGAATAAAGCACCAGCCCAGGCAGGACACTGGGAAAAATTCCGGGACTTTGGGTGTAATGTGTGAATTGGACACACTTGAGACCAGCAGGTTTCACACCTTATTTACACACGAAACCCAGGTGGCCTCACTCCAGGTGATCTCACTTGCAGAAAGTGACTACACGAAGGGCCAGCGACACGGACGTCCACCCTGGCTCAGTGCAGCGGTTAGTGAAAGTGCGAGTCACTGAGTCGTGTCTGACTCTGCAGCCCCCCGTGGACGGTAGCCCACCAGGCTCCTCTGTCCGTGGGATTCTCCAGGCAACAGTACTGGTGTGGGTAGCCATTCCCTTCTCCAGGGGGTCTTCCTGACCCAGGGATCGAACCCACATCTCCTGCACTGCAGGTGGATTGTTTCCATCTGAGCCACCAGTTGGCGATAACTAACCAGCGAGGCTGGGAGCCGGCTGTTTCTCTGTGCTGTCTCCCCTCTGCTGATCACAGGCCGCCTCTGGTGTCTCGTCTCTGCCTTCGGCACCTTGTTTGTGAACGGTCTGCTTGCACGCCTGTGTGTCTGGGGGCACCCTCACTCCGGCGGTGTGTCATAAGTGGCTTTTGGAATCTGCCGCCTACTTGCAGCAACGCATATTTTCAGGGTTTCAGGAATTACTCAAGTACCTGAATCTTCTGGAGTCTGCCACTCTTTAAATCTTTTATACTGTGATTATGCTGCTTTTATTGGAACTAAAATTACTGAATATTGTCACTGATAGCTATAAATTATCAGGGAACAATGTATTTTTTCCTAGCTAACCACACAAAGCTGGTTGGCCCTGAAAATTTGTCTCTTTCAGAGAAAAAGGTATTAAGAGTGATTTTTTTTTTCTTTCAGGGATTCACAGAACTGCTCCCTATTGATTTGATTAAAATCTTTGATGAAAATGAGCTGGAGGTTTGTAAACATTTTACATAAAGGAGATTTTATTTACGTTGCTTCACGGCTGATATTGTAATATTCTCTCATCCACAGTGTCCTAGTGAGTAAGCTCAGGTCAGTTCTACCACAGGTGTCTCGGGGGCTTGTGTGCCGGCCGGGGAGCAGGAACAGCAGAGGCCATCAGCTGTGCGCTCCTCCCTGGGAGAGGGCGGGTCCGGGGCGCGGCAGACAGAGGCCTACGCGCTGAGCCGGCTCACTGCTGGGCCTGGCCTGGCGGGGAAGCTGCTGCGTCCGGTAGAGCTGGGGCGGCAGCAGCCAGGTGAGGGGGCACCACCCTGCTCCCCGGGTTTTCGGCACACCCACCGTGAGAGCTGAGGGGGGCTCGGCCCGGAGGTGAGCGGGAGCGTCTGGGGGGGCTCCTAGAGCAGCGGTCGCCGTGAAGGTGAAGGGGTCGCGTTGAGTGAGGAAGCACGGCAGAAGCAACGAGGCGGGAGCAGGAGGTGGCTCCGAACCGGCCTGTGCCAGCTTCTCGGTGCTGACGTGGATGAGAGCGTGGCGTCTGCAGAGCAGGGAGGCTGCTTCACCCTTGTGTCGAGGGAAGCAAGACGAGGCAGGCTGTGTCTGTGCAGAGGCTGCTGACACAACTCCGGCCGCTTGTCCAGTGAAGCGGCTCCTGGAGACTGGCTTTCTGTTCTTCTTCCTTCAAGTGGAAACGTCCAGGTAGATGACATCCTAGAAAGATGTAGGACCAGTCTGCTCACCGGGAGGTGAGGTGATGCCCTGAGCTGGTAGATCCGTCTGGGGAAGACACGTTCTTGCTGTCATAAAGCACAAATTCTGCTGTGGGCAGAGAGGTATTTTGAAATATTGAGACAGATTACTTCTCAGAAGAGCAGACAGCCAGCGTCACGGGCAGATGTAAACAGAGCCAAAGGAAATCCGTGAGCACTGAGCTGAGATCAGAGGGGCCAGGAGGGCGATCAGTTTGGACTTTTCATTTCCAGTATGAGACGCAGTGGTCCGTCCAGGCACTGGAATCGGGTCCCCTCGTTACCTCTCTTGTCTCTGACCCGAGGCGGCAGGCAGGGTGTGGCACACGTGTTCCCCTTCATCCGTCTTTCCAGTTCACTGGTTCATCTGGCTTTGCACGTAACACGATGCTGCCATTGAGAGGAGGCCTTTTCTCCGTGTGCATTTCTTGGGCTTTCACGATACACCCTGTTCACCTCTGGTCTGTCTCCTCCAGTTGCTGATGTGCGGCCTTGGCGATGTGGATGTGAACGACTGGCGACAACATTCTATTTACAAGAACGGCTACTGCCCGAACCACCCCGTGATCCAGTGGTTCTGGAAGGTAGGTCTGGGGCCCAGGGCCTGTGCTGCCTTCCCAGGTCCGCTGCTGGGTTTGGAGCCCTGCTGGTCCGTGGCCTGCTGGGGAGGGGAGAGGCCTGCTGAGCCCGACGGAGCCCTTCCCTCTGCTTCTCTGTGACCGTGGTGGGCGCCTGCCCTCACTTGTCCTGAGTAAGCCACACTGTCTTCCTCGGTCACTTACTCAAGTGCTTTTGTTTGAGGAAACTGTTGAGTAGGATGACCCTAAAAAGCAGATAGCTGGATTCAAGAATTGGAATGAGTCCTCCAGAGTGTGAATAAGAATGAAAGGCTTCTCAGGACAAATACATGCTTTGGGGCTGGCTTTTCCAAGATGCCATTTTGGTTTAAAAAACCATTTTCTCAATTTTTTTTGTGAATTACAACAACCAATTTGAGCTTTACATCTTTCAATCAGAGATGCAAATGAAATCTGATTCACTCCCTAAAGGCCAGTGTTTGTATCCTGCTCATTTTAGGAGAGAAGTGAGACAGCAGGTCTGAAGGAGAGAGTATAAACTGACTTTGAAAGAACAATTCCATGGGGGAAGAGCACTGGTTATTTACTTATAGAAATAAGAAATCTGTTTGAATTGTCTTAATTTCTAAATATTTGTTACTAATAAAATTTCAAGTGCAGCAGAGAAGTATAGAGAAAAGGAAGAAAGCAGAATCATCAAATCCTAAAATCTTAGTCCAGGTCTCACTCAGCTTTGATTTTGGATTTTTTTTTTTTTTTTTTAATATCAGTTCAAGTGACTTTACCAGTAAAGCCAACTAGATTCTTAGAATAATTCAGATAAGTAAGATACACCGGTAATTTCAGAGGCCTAGCCTGGCTTCCGTTTTTCTAAAATGTTATCTTTAGAGAATTTCTCCACAGTCAGAAATCCTGCCTCATAAGCTGGGTTCCCCTCTGGAGCCAATCGGAAACACACAGTTTGAAAAGTGTCAACCCCAGGATCGTGTGTGTTTCCGACTGGCTTGAGCGGACCGGCAAGCCTCACAAACAGAAACAGGAGCTCAGTGCCGTCAACAAGTTTGCCTTTTTTTTAAAAAAAACCACTTATTTTTGACCAATGGGCACATGAAGAAAGTGACATTGTGATCCCTCGGTCTCTGAGATTACAGAGGCCAGTGTCGTGGCCATTAAAAAAATGCACGCCGGCCTTACCCTGTCCGGGTGTAAGACCGTCTAGGACTTCCGCCGCAGTGCATGCGGGATGACTGTTTGCCGGTCTGCGTTGCGTGTCCAGTGGCGCATGGTGACCTCTGTCCCTGTCTGCAGGCTGTGCTGCTGATGGACGCCGAGAAGCGCATCCGGTTACTGCAGTTTGTCACGGGGACATCCCGAGTACCTATGAACGGATTTGCCGAGCTTTATGGTGAGCAGGATACCAGGGGTCTTGTCCTCCCCTCGCCCCGTGCTGTGTACCAGGCATGCACTGTGGCTCCAGAAGACTGCCCTCCGGGCCTCCAGCCGCGCAGGTTTTGTCTGCACGCAGGAGACCCGCCACGTGAAGGGTGCGGCCGCATGCTGTCCCCTCAGCTGCTCTTAAGTCGCTCAGTCATGTCTGACTCTGCGACCCCGTGGACGGCAGCACGCCAGGCCCCCCTGTCCATCACCAACTCCTGGAGTTTACTCAGACTCATGTCCATTGAGTCGGTGATGCCACCCAACCATCTCATCCTCTGTGGCCCCCTCCTCCTCCTGTTTGTGTAGTTACCTCTGTATAAATGCAGGGGACTATTTTTACTTTTTGTTTTTGTACAGAGAACCATAAGTTTGGTCTTCTCTCTCTTTTCTGTTTTCTGGTATATCTTCCAAAACAACTAGATTTTGCAGAATCATCCATGTGGTTGTAAGCTGAACATTAAAAAGTACTGCACCCCTCCACAAGGCAGAATTCTTTTAGCACTTCCTGTAGATTAAAAAAATCACTTTCTGCTCTGCATATTAAAAGTCAGGATATTTCAGGTTTCCGCCCCACCCACCCAGAAGTAGTTTTAAGTTTAAGCTTGCAGGGCTGGGCTGAAAGGCTGCAGCTTCCACCCGTCCCATGTTGTGTCTGCTCTGTTCAGCGTGGCGCGGTTCCGTCCCGATGGTGACGCGAGTCTGGGTCTGAGGTCTGGGGTGGTGCAGAACCGCAGCTGCCTCTGTTTTATACACTGTGATGTCAGAGCTGCAGGGGGGTCCCCGGGCTCACCCAGGCACGCCTTGCCCGCCCCTCCTTCATCTTGCTCTGCTGCCTTGAGCACTCAGCGTTGCGTTTTCTTTTTCTTTTCTCTAGGTTCCAATGGTCCTCAGCTGTTTACAATAGAGCAATGGGGAAGTCCTGAAAAACTGCCCAGAGCTCACACGTGGTGAGTGACAGAAAACCACACAGCTGTCAACAGACAGACTTGTTTTTTCAAAGCTTAGTTGTGGATAACACTGGGCGAGAGGCAAGCATGCTGTGCTCCCTGCCCACTGAGCATTTAGAGTGGGAAATGTCAGTGATGCAGGCGAAGGTATAATCATCGCTGGTGCTGATGAAGTTGAACCATGAGTTGAAAGGGCCTGTATGTTTGATAATGAAGGGTTAAATCCCTCCTTCCTGCTTCCCATGGGGTGTTCCTCCTCCAGTCCCCCCCTTTCCTTAAATATTCTGGGAAGCAGAGATTTTACTGTATCATCTCCCTACATGGCTGTGACAGCAGCCAGCCTCTGAGCAGACTGCGTTCTTATTCCAGCCTTAAATCGGTTTAGAACCAGGAATGAGATTCCTTGGAGAAACAGGGTCTTTAAAAAGATTTTCCATGGCCATCCAGAACCCATGAGTCTCTGGGATTTAGTAATGTGATTGTGACAGAGGGGGGCTCACAGGTCCGACCAAGGACCCCCTGCCCCAGGGAGGCTCAGCACAGTGGCACTCAGAAGCCCTCCAGGGAATGGGGTGGGAGGAGGAAGGTTTCCGGAACCCCCGAGGACTTTGCTGAAACCCACAGAGAGGGTCTCAGGAGCCTTCAATCCAGCTCCCGGGTCCCCCGGGTTGGTTTCCCCTTCCGAGGCTTTGATTTCTTACTCATAGGAAGCAGGTGGAGGGGGTCCTGTGGATGGTCAGCCCCCCAGCCTCCTTCCCCATGAGAAGCCTGGGCTGTCCCGCACTGCCTGGCGCGGCTCGGAGGAAGGTCTCATTTAAGGTGCATGTGTGGAAAATGGGCTGTGGAAGGTTTTTTTGCTTCTCTTTGATTCCGTTGCCTTGCCGGAAAGCATGCTCTCCCCACTGTTTGTACCATTCCGAGAGCTCCAAGTGGGATGGATGTGGTCCCTGCCTGTCAGTGCCAGGAGAGCAGGCTGACTCTTGCTACAGCTGGCCGATCGCTGGAGCAGTCGGTGCCCCTGACCGTCTGCCTTTATTCTCAGGGGAGAATGTTTTGGCCATTTGGAGCTTTCATTCCAAACAGTCTCAGAATCCAGTGTAGTTTTCTGGGCTCAGTAATCTTCATCTGGAAGGCTGCCAGCGCTGGGCTGAGCCCCAGGACCGTCGGGATGGGGCGCGCGCCCGGCCGTCTCGTGTGGGGCAGGCCCTGCGCCTTGACAGCACTGTCCCTGGGGGTTCTTGGCAAGCTTGCTCGTGGTCTCAGAGTTCACAGGCTCCCAAATCTCAGGACTTGAAGTCAGGTCTGCCTGAATTAGAATCTCCACGCTGACCGCTATAGTTAAGCTGCCGCCACGGGAATATGGTTCCTTTTCTTTCCAGACTCTTCAAGGAGAAACCAAGTAATTGAGCACTCATCTCACATCCTACTGTTGACCCACAGACAGATATCTTGCCATTGAACGCTTCTTCTATCTGAGTCAGTGTGCTGAGCCACCACTAAAATCCAGGGCCACCCAGACAAGGCCCTGACTCGGGTGTTTCTCGACCTTAGCTGGACGTTGGAACCCCCTAGAAAGCATTAAATACAAACACTGGCCCCAGGGTCCCACTTGCGGAGGTTTTGACCCAGTTGGTCTGTTATGACTGGGGCTGTGGGATTGCAGAGCCACCCGGTGGTTGGCAAGGACAGCCGGGGTTTAGAATTGCTGCTCGTCTTCAGGAAGGACAGAGGCCGACCCCCAGGAGGAAGGCAGCCCCGCCAGCTTGCAGTGAAGCCCTGTTGCTCGTCGAGTGTCCCAGGAGGACAGCGTCCGGGGCCTTTTCCCAGGCCCCGAGGAGAGCACTAGCTCTGCTGAAGCCCCCTGGCTGGCCGCATGGGACGTCCTCTTTTTTCTCTGCTGTGGCTCTCCTCCCAGCCAGCCCCGGCTTCTGCTGAAACATAGAAACACAACGACCATGCTTCATTCTTGGTTCGCTGTAAACAAACTTCACCGCGATGACCATCAGTTCAGTTCAGTCGCGCAGTTGTGTCCGATTCTTTGCAACCCCATGATCTGCAGCACGCCAGGCCTCCCTGTCTATCACCAACTCCCGGAGTTTACTCAAACCCATGTCCATCGGGTTGGTGATGCCATCCAGCCATCTCATCCTCTGTCGTCCCCTTCTCCTCCTGCCCCCAATCCTTCCAATGAAGGGTCTTTTCCAATGAGTCAGCTCTTCGCATGAGGTGGCCAAAGTACTGGAGTTTCAGCCTCAGCACCAGTCCTTCCAGTGAACACCCAGGACTGATCTCCTTTAGGATGGACTGGTTGGATCTCCTTGAGTATAGTTGTAGGCTAAATAAAATCTAGCCATATGTGTGTTTAATCTCTTCCATGTTTGATGAAAATATAAAATACACAATGAAGCTTCAAGATTAAAACCTGATTTCCTAGGAGAGGGAGGGCTTAGCGGAGCTGGTTCTTTCACATATAATTGTGGAGTATCTAACATGAAGTGGCTTCATTCCATTGTTCTATCAAAGGTCACGGCTCATATATTTAAAATTCCTCTTTACTAAGCAGCACAGACCCACCTAAAAATGATCTCCTTCAGCCCACACATCTTCCGCACAACAAGGCTGAGGTCCCTGGGGGTAAGGAGGTCACGCAGTTGGTTGGTGGCAGGCCAGAGCCAGACCTGTGTCTCCTGACATCAGAAGTGATGGTAACGCTCACTGAGCACTTCCTGTGCTCCAGGCATCGCCCTGAAGAGCGCTGCGTGTGTGAACCAGGGTCACCGTCACAGCAGTTCTGAGAGGCAGGTCCGATGCCTCCCCTCTTCTTAGCAGTGGAGGAACTGACACCTCCACTGTCACTGGAGAGCTGACAACATCCCAAACCTCAGCTCTTCACGCGCCCCAACTTGCTTCTCCCTCGCCCCCCCGTCATTCCAGTCTTTCTCAAGCTTGAATAACGTATGGGCCTTCTTTAAAATGGCAACAGATTCTTGAAGCCCCACAGGATTGCAGGCCCTGGACTGTGAAATACCAGCTTAAAATCAAGACAACAGCTGCCTCCTGGGAAAAGATCTTTTAAGTGTAGCTGCAGAGTGGGGTTCTGTCTTTGTTGCTGGTGAAATGACATTTTGAGGTCATTATCACAGTGAAAACCAAACACTGAAAACTTCTTTTCCTCTTAATCGTTCCGGATCCAAGTCTCTGAGACCTGGTTTGAGGAGCACGGCTCTTCCCTGCCGTGTGCTTTGATGTCAGAAAACCTCAGGGCTCAGTGCGACTCGTCAGACACTCAGCAGTTGTTAAAGGGCCCGTCCTGCTCACGCGTCCAGGTCTCACTGCTGCCGACAGTCATAGGCTTTAAAACGCAGGTCAGCGCTCTGCTCGTCCTCGGAAACCTATGCCAGAGCCCGGAGCAGCAGTTCTAGACGCTGAGGCAGCCTGACAGCATCCAGGCCTTGGAGCCAACCTGGGGCTGAATCCGGACTCTGCCACTTGCTGGGTGATTTGGGGCAAGTTCCCTAACCTCTGTGTGCCTTGCATTCCTCTATAAGTAGGGATGCAGCATTACCTACCTTACAGGTGGGTGCTGGGACTCGCTGAGGTGATCGAGGAATAGCACCCGGGTGGCTCAGCTGGTTAAGAATCTGCCTGCAACGCAGGAGACCCAGGTTCAGTCCCTGGGTGGGGAAGATCCGCTGGAGAAGGGGTAGGCTACCCACTCCAGTGTTCGTGGGCTTCCCTTGTGGCTCAGCTGGTAAAAAATCCACCTGAAATGTGGAAGACCCCGGTTCAGTTCCTGGATGGGAAGGATGCCCTGGAGAAGGGAAAGGCTACACACTCCAGGATTCTGGCCTGGAGAATTCCATGGACTGTATAGTCCATGGGGTCGCAAAGAGTCGGACACGACTGAGCGACTTTCACTCGCTCACCACTAACAGCGCTGGCGCAGGGCAAATGCTCCACGAATGTTAGCTTATGAAAGCATAATGAGCTAAGGTGTGCACGTGTGTTTGCACATGCACACACATGTGCAAACAAGCCACAAGCATGTGTGGCCATCGTCACAACAAGGCCGGCAGCCCACCTCCCTGGTGTCTGGGGCTCCCTTGTGCCTGGGGCGGGGGGGGTTGGGGGGCAGTGCCTGGTGGGTGAGCGGTGACAGTGGGGGCTGCCTGTGGGTGCGTGCTGTGTACCAGACCCCTTTATATGTGTGATCTGATGCTCCCAGCACCTGACCCTGCAGCGGTCTCCCCATTTCACGGAAGGGCCGACAGAGAGGGAAGTGACTCGCCTGAGGTCACATGGCTGGCAGGTGGCAGAGGCAGGATTTGAACTCAATCCTGGGAACACGTATAGTTGTTGCTCACAGAGGCCACGTGTATCTGGAGGTCTCAGTGTCACCAGGGTGACTTGTGCCACCCCAGCCAAGGCCTCCAGCTATGTAGGGGCTTTGGGTAAATGCAGCTCTTCACGCCGCACGCGAGTGACTTGCCTGACTCTGGGTAGAGCGTCGCTCCACGTCGGGCTCCCAGAGCCGCGGGAGCCTGGGTTCTGGTCTCAGCTTTGCGGTGCTGTCAGGGCTGAGGCTAGGGCACGGTGACCTGCCGCCCGGCTGCAGGACCTGCATCTGCAAAACGAGGAGACACCTGCTCAGAGGGGCTGTGCGGAAAACAGAGGCGCTGCGTGCAGAAGTGCGGACTTCCTAAAATAGTGTCAGACAGCTCCATTCATCCTGCTGCGGAAAGTTTTGACAGTTTTCACAGTTTTGAAGCCTCGGCGTGTGCGTCAGTTACCTTGCCTGTCCTGTGTCCCTTCCCAGCATGGGTTTCTAGGATCCACGTCTGACCGTAGTAGAGAGGTTTCACAGGCGATTGGAAAATTCTCTTTTCATCCCCTGCAGGTGTGGGCAGGGTCATCACTGGATGATATTTTGGTGCTGAGGTTGTTCACAGTCCTCTTGCTCAAACACCAGGCGCCCTCGTAGGCCGAATCGAGGAGACGCAGGCATGACTCACGTCGAGATGCTGGCTCCTTACGTTTGCTTTGTTGCTTTTGCAGCTTTAATCGCCTTGACTTACCTCCGTATGAAACCTTTGAAGATTTGCGAGAGAAGCTTCTCATGGCTGTGGAAAATGCCCAAGGGTTCGAGGGGGTGGATTAAGCGCCCCTGCCTCGGGGCGGTTGTTCTTCGAGCAAGTCCTGCTTGCACGTTTGCATTTGCCTGACAGACTCTGCAGAGACACTGGCAGAGAGCAACGCGGCGAGGGGTCCTGGAGCGCAGCCCCCGCCCCCGACTTGCCCGCGGCCGACGGGGAGACCCCGTCCCGGGCCGCGTTCCTGCATTTCCCACCACCAATTTCCAACTGGCTGATGTGTATACTGATTACATTTCAGGAGGACTTATTCTATTTATGTTGTGCCTCTGTAGGCCAAGCCCTTAATAAATATTTTCCATACTTTATAATGACAGCGAATGGAATTAATCACTCTACAGGTATAGTATTACAACTCATGTTTACTTTTTAAAATGATTTAGACTGATTTGCAGATTTTATTTCACTACAATTAAAGATGTCTCATGTACTTGGAAAAGTGAGCACTTTTTTTTTTTTTGTATTTGAACTTCATACCAGGTTTAATGTTGGTGACATTTTTATTTTTAAAGTACTTGGAAAGCCCCACCCCCTACCGGATTAGCTATGGAAGACTGACTTCTGTCCAAAAACCTTCTGCAGACAAATACTCTAACATTAGACATCATGACAGTTTTTTCCATGCTCAGAATGAGAACTGGATATTACGGTTTTTTTTTGTTCAAATTCAGTGTAATAGCTGCAGACTGAGAGAATTGTAACATAGCATGACAAAATTTGTGTCGACTTGAAGGAATCACACCGTTACTCCTTAGAAGTGATCACGTGTGCTGGAGCACATTTGAGGCAGGGTTGGACTATCACTTCTCGTAAGAGAAGCTACTTAACCCTTCCCAATGCTGTACAGTCCTCCTATTGTATTTTCCTCCTTGCTGTTGTAGTAGAGACACTTCAGTGAAACTTGGCACCAAGTGATTCGAAACTGTGGAAAGCAGACCTGTACAGTCTCCTGTTTGTATGCGTTTGCTAACGGTAGCTGAATACACAACTTTTTGTTCTAACTGCACCAATTCTGAAGGCACTTTATGTACTATGTGGAGGTCATATCTGGTTTTCTTTTTTTTCTTTAATCATAAGCATTGAATGTGATTTCTTCTCTCTGCACACACCCTTCCAGTGCAATATCTATTGATTGTGAATCTGGCTGCTGGTGTCTAAACCCTGGCTGTAAAGCTGAGCCTAGAGACCTGTCCTGACCAAGCGTTTTGTGATTTCTACTCCACTGCAAAGATTACTAGACACTTAATCTAACCGGGTTTCGTTCCCAATGACCTGTTGCATGCTTCCATACCATGTTCTGCCCGAGCTGTGTCCATCACGTGCTAGATTAAAAGGGCGGAGAAGACTTGATTTGACGCCCTGACATCTGGCCTTCCAGCTGACCCTGCTGGGGGTGGAGGCTTCTGCGGGATTCAGGTTCTTGACCACTTTTGAGTCCTTGTTGCAGAACTGTTTTGAAAGGACGCCTGAGGCAGGGCGAGGGGGTCTAGCAAACCCTTCTGTCCTCCTCAACCTGTGTTGTCCTAAACCCTGCAGTGGCCGTCCAGGGAAACTGGATATGTTGCTTGCCAGTCATAGATGAGACCCAAAAAATTGTGGTTTCAGGGCCTCCGTTTAGGATCTTCCGGGTGGCTTGTGGGAAGCCACGAATGTTGGTGGTTGGGTTGTTTAAAGAGGCTGCGGAGCCCGTGGCATCTAAAAGAAGGTGGAGTTCTCCAGAATTGAGGGTTGTTCCCTTTCACAGTGATTTTTAAAAATCCAGTAGTGATCAGAAAACCTAGATGTTGAGTAATTAGAAAAACAATACTGCTCATTATTTTCACCTCTTGGTGGGATTTTGTCCCTTCAGTTGATACAACAAGTGTCTCCTCTTAGCCCCTTGGCTTGCTTTTTACGATTCATGTCAGAGCCTGGGAGAGCAGTGTGCTGGGATGGGTTTCCTAAGTGTGCAGTTATAGGGAAGACATCCAAAATCCTTGTCGAAGAACTGGAGCTCTTCTGTCATTTCATAAATTCTTAAATCAGAATGTTCACTGAATGCAAATTAGGCAAAGTACTGAAAATACGAAAGAAACCCCATTCTAAGATCATTTCTGTGCCAAGAACAGATAAGAATTATTGAAATAGACCCCCGTGAATACTTGGAAGGCGGTAATTGTGAAAGACAGTTCAGTTCATCTCTCCCTTATTATCTCATTTCAGTGATAGCTCGGAAGTGCTGGGTTTAGAGTTTGTTTGGGGGTTTTTGCTTCCTTGGATCCAAATAAGCTTCCCCAGTTCGCAGCAACCCTCAGGGTTTCACTCTGCGTCTAAACAGCCATGCACCTTGTTTTCTCTCGATCCTGACGACCACTGTCCACCCCTGTCGCACTGTACTCTCAGGAGGCAGTAAGGAAGAGCAGAGGGCCTCTGCCCAGCCCGCTCAGCACCCCTGGGGGTGGAAGACGCTGTCGCCGCCCCTGGATCTCTCTCAACAGTGATGCCTTTTTAGAAATGACCGGAATCCAGCTTCTCTAGGCCCCTGGAAAAGAGCCCTTACGAGCCATTTAGCCATGAGGTTAAGAAGCCAGTTCCAGAATTTGCATATTGCATGTGGTTGAAAGGTTTTTAAACATCAGCTAACCCAGTCACCTGTAAAAGTCCTGCTTGTTTCTAGTCTCCCCTCTTGTCGGCCTAACAGTGAATTTGGGGAGTCCTGCCCAGGAGAGATTGGCTCCAGGCAGGGTCTGCTCTTGCACCTGCCGCCTCTGCGACAGGAAACGGCGAGGCGTGGGTCTCAGCGCTCTTTTCCTTTCTCCTGAAACACATCCATTTACTTACCAAGGCGGTTTGGTAGCTCCCACCAGATACTCCCTAAGGCCAGATGACAAATGCTTCAAGCAACCTGACATGGTTTGTTCCTCCCACATAAGGATGCAGGCACAGATTCTGAGAAGAATGGTTTGCAAAATATTTGAACTGCTTTCTGCATCTCACACTGTTCGACAGCATGGACCGCTGCCGTGTGACCTCGCCAGGTCCAAACGGGCTCCCCTGAAAACCGAGCTAGCGCGCAAACTATTAATTGTCCTCCCAGTTCCTAAGTGTTTCTCACGTGACTCCGCTGTTTGCTAAGTCTTGGACCTCGCCTCCGAAATGTCAGGACCCACAGAGAGCGCGCCTGGGTTCACCAGTCGGCAAGCCCCGCCCCGCCGTGCGCTAGGCCCCTCTTGCCTCCTCACGCCGCCCCCGCCCCGCCCCAGCCCTGGCCGGCCGCGGTGTCCACTCCTGCCCTGCCAGCGGGGGCGAAGCCGCGCAGGGACCCGCCTGCCCCGCCCCGGCCCCCAGGAGGTCCTGCTCTACCTCTTAGACTCTGGGGTGCATCCTGGTAGGTCAAAACTGCCGGTTTTAGGTCCAAGGTGTGTTTTTTAAAATAATGCTTAATAAACTCCACTTTGTACTTTGGATTTTAAAACTGGGGAAAAAAATGTGATATACTTTGGACCACTTTTTTTTTTTTAATTTATCGAAGCCTTAACGAACCGTGTATCTACATTTGCATTCACACACCCCCACCCCCAGTCCCCAGAGCGTTTTCAGTGTCTCAGAGACAAAGCTGTCGCGTTAGGATGTGAGCTTGTACGTTTCATGGGAAAGGAGAGCTTTCTGTTGGTACAGAATCGTCCAAGAAAACCTCTCGTTTAGACCTCTCCCCTTCGTTAAAGGTGTTACGTGCAGGCCGATGCATGTTTAGGACGCATGTCTCTTCATTGGTCGGTTTTGTGTTTGTGTGAGTAACAGTAGACCCTCACGGCGCTGGCGGCAGACCTCTGTATGCTACCTTCTCAACCTGTATCAGTGCATCCTAAGCCTCATGACCATGACCTGTGTCCACAGACATCTGTGTTCCTAAAGAAGCCACTCTGCCCCTCTCCCTCAGACCAATTTCACCTGGATTGTCACAGTTTCCTTCATGTGAACTTTGCATAACTGTTCCCCCTTCACTACTGTGTATGTAATATATATACGAACATCTGCTGTCCAAATATATCTGTATGTATTTGTATAGCATTTACACCTACCTTGAGGAATCTGGTTTTGAAAGGGAGTGAGAGGTTAGTCCCTGCTACAGTTTCCTCCAAGCTGTGTCCTGAGAATTCTGACCCTCGGAGAACCCAAGGAAGATGATGATAGAATATGCTGTTATCTCTTAATTCAGCATCTATTATCAAACAAAACATGAAAGAAACAGTGACTTTTAAGGTGAAAAGTTTCAAGCATTCCAAATGAATTCTCAATGTTTCATAACTTTTTATTATAACCTCACCTCCTAATACAAAGCCAAGTACTATTTGATACAGTGATTAAAAACCAAACAACTTGGAAATTTTTTAAAAGACATCATCTGGCTAACTGCTCATTTTCACAATCAGAATAGCTTTAAAATACAGTTGAATTTGATACAGGTAAAAAACGTTTTGTTGAAGAACAAATTCCTTTTGCTTTTCGTTTTTCTTGAGTGACCTAAACAGAAATTGTGGATTGTTTTCCTGACTTAACAAAAGAGTAATGTGACAAAATGAAGTCATTGTAAAGACGTGATTCGACTTGTCAAATATTTAATAAAGGATTGTGGAAGCTGGAACTTTTTCTACATCAAGTATTATAGGTTGTCTGTTTTAAAGCTTCTTCATGAATGCATTGTCTTAATTGTTTGGGGGGCGATATTCAAATGCCTGCAACTTTGTAGATAGTATGCTCCTTTCCTTCGTCTCCCTAGAAGTCCCACATCTTTAGAAACATCATTAAAGACTTCTCAGAACACATGGGTTGAGCTTAATGGGATGTACCTCTATTCTTACCCATCTGTCTTCTACTTAAGAATTAACGACTTGATGGATTACCCAAGTGGTAATATAAAGCCCATGACTGGAAAGGCATATTTCATCTCTGGTTTTCGTCCAACTAACCCTCAATTTGTGTCTGTTAATAAGACTCAGTAATGAAGCCTAAGATGGTTCTCAGAAAGAAAATCCAGACCTCATGTCAATCCCCTGGATAAAACAGGTAGACTCCTCAAATTTTGCTCCTTTTCCTTACCTCTTGATGGCCTTAACTTGTGCCCTCAGAGACTGCCAGGAGGCAGCATCCAAGCAGGGCGTGATTTCGCCCTGGTCTCCTGGTCCTTGCCTCTCTCAGTTAGCAGCAGACCGTGTCCTGCTGGAAAGACGTCAGTAGGCTTCCGAGCTCCCGCAGCCTCCTCCAGCCTCAAAGGAACGCACAGGGGAGATGTCAGCAGGCAGAGCCGCCCTAAACTCGTATGTGTCCATCCTCAGAGAGAAACACACATGATGAGTTTATATGAAATAGAGGAATAAATCATACATCACTTACACGGTTGCTGGGTTAGTAAACGCGTACCCTGCTCTGAAGTCCAAGGGTGACCTAGGCACTCCTGAAACTCAAAAGCCTCCTGGTAAAAGCTGATGGTAAGCCTGGGCATCCGGGAATTCTCATCACTGTGGCTGGTCCTGGGTACCATATCCAGAGGGGCCCCTGGACGTACGAGGGCAGATTCCACTTCCCATCCCCTTGGTGCGCCCCCACCTGGAAGACGGCACCTCTCAACACTGCGCTCCCAGAGAAACCGGACTGCGGGGTCTCTGAGTGTTCATAGGACTTGGACTGGACAGGAGAACAAAACAATGGAGGCTTTCATTGACCCAGACGGACTCCATCAGGGGATTACAGGATCCTGGCCCCACCTGGGGGACACCTGCTGGTGGGGACTGAGGAAGTGCAGAACCACGGTTCCCTTTGTAGGACTGACCGCAGGCCAGCCTGGGGACCAGGTCAAGTGGCCCGAAATCAGCCTGTCCCCTTCCTGCAACCCCGGGCTGTGCCTCCTTCCCTGTCCCAACCAAGCCCAAGTCCATCCTGGCAGCAAGTCACAGGGTGAGCTTGACCAGAAAGCAGTGGAGAGGCTGCCCCCTGCCTCTGAGCGAAGTGGCATCTCCCCTCGGAAATGGGACCCCCTGGACACCCAGGGCTTCAGAGAGCAGGTCAGTGGCTTCCCTCGAGTCCCAGCCCAACCCCGGCCCCGGTGCTCAAAGCAGCAGATCCTGGCCCCTCTGGGTCTGCCTGCTGCACTTTATCTTGAAGCCTGAGCTGCCTGCTCTTATCTGAGTCCCCTCCTTGGCCGGATGTCCGGCCCACTTACCCCTTCGGTGCCTCTCCACACGTCCACGGGGCACCATCGCCTGCGTTTCTGCAGCCTCGGGGCCTCGCTGGCTGCAGGAACAGACACGGCCTTGGAGAGAGGGAGTCAGGGACCTGATGGCAGGAGGGGAGGGCACACGGTTCCTCCACGAGCCCTTGTGCTCACCTCCCCCAGTGCTCGGGGAAAGCCTTCTCTTCTCTGCGGGAGAAGTTCACCTGCAGACGGCTTGTTGGAAGGGGTGAGGGTCATGCAGGAAGGAAACCCGCAGCCAGGGAAAGTTAGGTCTCGCTGTGATTAAAGGGAAATCATACATTCTGGCAACTTCTAAGCAGTCCCGCACTGTGGGAGTTTTACATACACTTCCCAGAATGAAGTTACCAGTTTTCAACCCTGTGTGGCCTTGTTCAGACGGAAGAGCAAGACCAGCTAAAGGCAGACTGTTCTGCGCCGCTGCGTGCCCGGAGCTCACCACGCTTTAATCACACGATTGCCAAATGTTTGATCCAGAAGGACCTTGGCCGCGCGAGTCCCCAGTTCTTGCCCTTGCTTCCTCCCCGGGTGCCCCGTGCAGTTGGCCTCACTAGCCCTCGGGGGCGGCCCTGCAGAGACCCAGGATGATGGCCGTGGGAACCGAAGACCCCCAGGGAGGGGCCGATCAGCTTCTCGCGCTGCCCCGTGGGTCCCGGGGGGCTGGTGTGACCTCTCTGATGCCATCTCTGCCCTCCAGCAGCTGGTCTACACAGAGGGGCCGCTCGCCACCCGGCCCCGGGGAGAGAGGAGGGCCACCGACGCCTAGCTGGAAATGGGCAGCCGCCCTCAGCCTCAAGGCTACCGCCCCCGCCCCCGCCCCGTGAGGCCAGGCCCAGGGTCAAGGTCAGACCCTCAGCATCCCACTTCAGGTGGGGAACCTGGGTTGTCAAGGGAACCTTGCAAACACATCAAGCTGATCTCACTCTTGTAAACCCCTCACGGTGGAGCAGAGTGCAGGGGGGTCCATGGGGGGCCAGAGGACCAGAGCACAGGCGGGTACCAGGGGCACCCCACGCAGCCTCCCGCCTCCGAGCCGGGCCACCAGGATGGTGTAAAAAGCTTCAGACTATCTCAAGCAGTATCGTCCCAGCCAGGAAGAGGCCGTGGTCAACATCCTCAGGAAACCATCTCTTGCTGGCAGGGGCCAGAGCCCTCCGCCACCCCGGGTGTCCCCACAGCTTCCCCAGAACGCAGGAGGAGCCCTCGAGCAGGGTAGGGGCCCCACAGCACTGGGCGCAGAAACTGTTTGTGGGAATCGGGGCTGCTGCACAACTGTGGGCTTCCCGGGCGGCTCGATGGTGAAGAGTCCCCCCTGCCAAAGCAGGAGACACAGGTTCCATGCCTGATCTGGGAGGATCCCCTGGAGGAGGACATGGCAACGCACCCCAGTGTCCGTACCTGGGGAACCCCAGGGACAGAGGAGCCTGGTGGGCCCCAGGGGTCACAGAGTCAGACACGAGTGAGCGACTAAGCATAGCCACCACCCCGGCGCACGCGCTCCTGTCCGCACAGTGAACTCGAGGGTTGGGAGGTGCGGGGCTGCTCCCAGACACCCCTCCAGCCATCGCCTGTCTCAGGACCCTCCGTAGCCCCCAGGCAGGGGGAGGGGCGGCCAGTGTAAGGTTGTGCAAGAGGACGAGGACCAGAGGGACAGACCACCCTCCACCCGCTGCCCAGCCGCATGGCCACAGCTAACCACAAAGGAGACTGGGAAATGGGGTCGGGGACAAGCAGCCTTCAGCACCCCTTTGCAGAATGAACCTCCCCTTCGGAGAGTGGCCTTCCTGCCGTTTGCCAAGCTTCCATAGTCTCCGATTCCCTCTCTTGGGATAGCAGTACTACTGCTTACCATAAATCTCAGTCTAATAAGGTAGATTTTGTCACTGCCAACTTACACACGAGGAATCGGACCAGGAGGCCCAGAGTCTTACAGAGGACAGATCTGAACCCCGGGTGGTTTGGCTCAAAGCCTCCCATCAGCCACTCACTCTGGCCCATCCTTCACCCCCTGCACCAAACCTCCTCTCCGAGGGAAGAGTCCAGACACTCATTCACACTAAGACGCACATGACTGATCACACCAAATGCATGACCCGTTTTAGATGTTTTTACAAACTCCAATGTGAGGCTTAGACAAACCGACAGGAGTAAAGACTGACCCGATGGCATCTGTGTGAAAGTCATTCAGTCGTGTCCAACTCTTTGCAACCCCTTGGACCCATGGAGTTCTCCAGGCCAGAACACTGGAGTGGGTAGCCCTTCCCTTCTCCAGGGCATCTTCCCAACCCAGGAATTGAACCAGGGTCTCCTGAACTGCAGGCGGATTCTTTACCAGCTGAGCTATCAGCGAAGCCCAGAGCAAGCTGAGTGGAAGAGGGCTTTTGAGGGCAAATGCTCTGCTTCAAACCACAGTGTCCAACATACACGGAGACGTTGCGGTTTAGTCACTAAGTCATGTCCGACTCTTTGCAACCCCATGGACTGTAGCCTGCCAGGCTCCTCTGCCCATGGGATTCTCCAGGCAAGGATACTGGAGTGGGTTGCCATTGCCTTCTCCAGGGGATCTTCCTGACCCAGGGATCAAACCCGGGTCTCCTGCATCTTCTGCACTGGCAGGCGGGTTCTTCACCCCCAAGCAACCTGGGAGGCCCCACACAAGGAACCCCTCTACCTGCAAAGACAGCCTTCTCCAGGGACGGCCCCAGGGCCACACTGCCTCTCTGCCCCAGAGCTCTCTCCACCTTCAAAAGCAAGGGCCCTACATTTTCCAGATCCAGTGGCAACACGAACATCGCTTAGTCCAACAGAGGTGACGGGCCGTAGAGACCTGGAGACCAGGGGGCTGGGTTCTCTACCCTCGGGAACTATCTGGTGGAGCGCCGGATGTACATTTTTCAAAAAGTGTTTCTGTTGGATAAACATAAGCTAATGGCTAAAATCCTTTAATACTATTTTGGTGGAGAGTTTGGGATTTGTCTTTCGAATTCTAGTTGTTCGGCTCTCTTACAAATTAGAAGAGTGCCTCTGGCACTGGGGTCCTCTCCCCTCCGACCCCCAGCCTCTTCCCGCTCTGGCCCGCCCCCGTCTTGCCTCTGTGCAGCCTGTATTTACTCAGAAGATCCTTGCTTGTTCATCAGCTGAGGTTATACAGGGGACATGCCCTCCCCATCCCAAGGCGTAGTCAAACAAAAGTCAGGCCTTTGAACCCCAGTCTCCGGTTAAAAAGTAACAGGCTGGGTACTGGGTCAATAAACGGCAAACATTAGCTGCAGAGGCCGGAGCGCCACGACCTTGGGAAATGCGCTGCCGCTCATCCTGTGTCCCCAGCGATGGCCGTCTGTCCTGGAGGTCCGGGACACTTACAGACCCAGGCGACCTGGAGCCAGTCATTCTTTTTGCTCTGCAAGTTGAATGTGGAAGCCACCAGCCCTTAAAGTTTGCTCCCAGACCACTCCACTGGCCTGGCTGCCATAGCAAAGCACGTGTCCACTTCCCTCTCCCCCCTTCCCAGCTGCCCGACACTCCGGCCAGCCCGCCTCCAGCCCAGCTCTGATCACACCGCCGGGCTGGTCACTGTATCCACCACTTGCCCGTCAGCCCCTGCCTGGTGCTCAGGCCTGTGCAGGGCGCCTGGGCAGCAGGACAGGCCTCCAGGGGGTCGCCCCCAACACCGCCATCCCAGTCTTCAGCCTGCACTGTTCCGTGGCAACCATTCCTGCTCCCCCTGAAACTCAATCCTGATTTCCATGACATGTTCCCCTCCTGGCTGTTCTCTGCTCCTCATGCAGGTGTTTCCCAATAACTCACCCCTGGTGTCCTCTCTCTCGCTCTCTCCTCCCCACCTCCCCTGTGGCTTAAAGTCATCACCACCACACGAGCAGTGACCAGATCGCCCTCAACCCTTCCCTGCAACACCCCCGGGCCTCCTCGTGGGATCCCCTAGGTCACTCAGACTCACAGAGACCCAGGTTAGGCTCCCACTGCTTCCAGACTTCAATTCTGAAGTGTCTTTAGCATTCTGCTCTGGTGTCTGCTCTGGTGTCTTCCAAGCATCCACCCCGAGGCTTTAACTGTGACCTTTTGCAAGGCCTTGCTTCCCAGGTCCAAAGAGGGAAAGAGCTCAGCTTTCCACTCACTCATCCATCCATAAACATGCCACCAGGTGCCACACACTTGTAGCAACTGGAAATATAACCATTCAAAACAAAAATCCTTCCCTCCAATAAATACACCTTCCAGTGGAGGCAGAGAGACAATCAATGTATAAATAAGTAAACAGTGCGCTGTTAAACGGTGGTGGAACCAAGGAAAGCAAACGGAAGGAGATGGCGTGGGAGGATGGAAATCTGGACAGAACGGACTTCCCTGGGGGTCCAGGGACTAGGACTCTGCTCTTCACTGCAGGGGGCACAGTTTCGATCCCTGGTCAGAGAACTAAGATGCTTCATGCCACGCAGAGGGGCCAAAAAATAAATTCGTCACAGTGGCTCAAGATAAAGATCTCAAGGAGGTAAGAGTGAGTCTTGTGGCCACTTGGGGAGGACCACGTGGACACAAGGAGCAGCAAACACAAAGGCCCGAAGAAGGGCTGGGATCCAAGGGCAAGGCCCTTCTGGAACATGCTAACATCGCGCCAGCGGTTGGACCTTCCAACTGAGGAAGGCGAGCACAGAGTTGAACGCAGAAGCTCGGGGAGATGTCTAGGCTGGAGATACCAACTTCAGCGCCATCAGCTTGTCGATGGAATTTCCAGCTGAGTCTGAGAAGATGCGATTCCTGGACTGCAGGCTGAGACAGTCAGGAGAGGAGGAGCGGCAGGGAGGCGGGGGGGAAGCAGGGCCCACGCAGTCTCAGCGGCGGGGAAGGCGTCTTGGCGAGGAGGCACGTGTCCGGTGCTGCTGGCAACGAGGGACTCACCGGGCACCTCCAAAAGGGAGGCCTTGGTGGGATTGGGGAGAAGAGGCCCGACCAAAGGGGCTCCACAGAGGGGCTGGCGCTGGGGCGCGTGCATGCTCCCCCCGCGGTGGCTCGCTCCCCTCCGGGCCCACCCAGCGCCTTACGGCCTCGGGAACTTCAGCCCAAGTCGTGGTGATGACCTCCCAAGCGCACCCCACTCCGCCCTTCTCCCCTCTCTCTCAGTCCAGTGTGCGCACAGCCCTAATCATGGCCCTCCACGGCGGAAATCCATCAAGGCTGCCAGTGTCAGCTCATGAACGGCTAAGCCCCTTAGCCAAGCACTCCAGGCCAGTGATGAGCAGGTCCCTGACTCAGTTTCCCTTCCTGCCCCCTCTTCCCTCAAACAGACGAGCCCCCCCCATGTGCACATTCCACATTCAGTCCTTCCTTCTTGCCTCTGCTCACGCCGTTCTCTCCTGGGAATGACCTCCCCCATGTCCAATTCTACCTAAGATTCAGAGAGCATCTCAGATGTCCCTTCCTCCAGGTAGCCTTTCCTGATTCCCTCCAACCCAATGAAGTTTCATCTCTCTTCTGAACCTACAGCACTCTGCCCATTTCTGCCTCTTGCTGTGGTTCGTTTTACAACTACTGTCTTCCTCTTCATCACCGTAAGCACCCTGAAAGCATAGGTTACATCAATGCTCTCTGTCCCTTGGCTGCTCAGCAAGGCTGGGCCAGAGGGAACTGGTTAGGTGCCTGGGGAAGCAGGGTGATGCTGCAGGCTCCAGAGAGCTTGGAGGTCATCTGTGGGCTTCAGCTGGGAGGCCCCTCACTGCTCCCCACCTTGGTCCACTCCTGAGTAACAATCAAACCGGTCGGGCGAACAAGCATCTTCCATTTCATGACCCTGACGAGGGACCCCAGACCCATCTGACCGTGAGAAAGTCATCTGGAGCTTTTGGTGAAAGAACAAGACAGGAGACAAGCAGACAGTCCGCAAAAGGCCCTGAAGCTACAGAAAAGGACCTGCCCAGAGTCGTGCTGCCTCGGCCCGGGTGCTCCGGCGCCTATCGACTCTCTTTGTGGCCTAAAAAAACAGCAAGTGAACACAGTGGCTTTTTCACTCTGCTTTTCATCCTTCTCTGGGTTTTTAAGCCTCATAGATCAGCAACACTTCAGTTCAAGGGATGGCGGTTTCCCTGGAGACCTTCAGGTGCCTGAGCCACACGTGGCTGTCCAAGCAGAGACGCAGGGCAGACGCTCCCTGGTGCCTGCCCAGCTGCGTCCTGGAGGGGCTGGCACAGGGCGTGGGAGGCCACCTCTACATTTGGAGAAGGAAGTGACCCAGCCGAGGTGAAGGAGAGAGAAGCTGCAAACGAGGGTTCTATATAAATGTATGTCACACCTTATGTAATGGGCCTCCCAGGTGGCGCAGTGGTAAAGAATCTGCCTGCCAGGGCAGGAGATGCAGGAGACTCGGGTTCGATCCCCTGGTCAGGAAGATCCCCTGGAGGAGGAAATGGCAGCCCACTCCAGTACTCTTGCCTGGAAAATCCCATGGGCAGAGGAGCCTGGTGGGCTACAGTCCATGGGGTCGCAAAAAGTCAGACACTATTTAGCAACTAAACAAAAACAACAAACCTTACGTGATGCTACCGGTGGAGGGTGGGGTAATACACTGCCAAACCTTTAACATTTCTACAGCCAAGCATGTGAAGCCACAGGCTAAATGGAATAAACTCTATAAACAGCCTCACGTCAGTTCAGTTCAGGTTTTTGCCATCTGACAAGGTTTTTGTCCCAAATGGGTTGCTTCACCTTTATAAAAAATGAATTTGAAATGGCAGATAAGGGCTTGTGACTCTGCCTAGAGGTCAGTGTCTGTCAAAAATTCAGGTAAGGATCTACAGATTCAGTGTAAGCTATATCAAAATTCCAGTGGCATATTTCATAGAACTAGAATAAATAATCCTAAAATGTGTGGAGAAACACGCCAAAGATCCTGAACAGCCAAAACAATCTTAAGAAAGAAGAACCAAGCTGGAAATATCACACTCCCTGATTTCAAACATAAAGTTACAGTAACCAAAACAGTGTGGTACTGATACACACACGAAACAGTGGAATCCACACTTCTAGGGGTGATTAACCTACAGCGAAGGAGGCAAGAATATACAGTGGAGAAAGAACACACACCATGGACACCTGTAAATGGTGTTGGGAAAGTGGACAGCCCCGTGCCAAAGAACGAAACGAGACCTCTCTCTTAGGCCACACACACAAATCACCTCAAAATGGAATAAAGACTTGAACGGAAGACCTGAAACCATAAAAACCCTAGAATAAAACAGGAATTGTACTCTTTGACATCAATCTTAGCAATAATTCTCTGTATGTGTCTCTTCAGGCAAGGAAAACAAGAGCAGAAATAAACAAATAGGGCCAAAAAAAACAAAAATAAAACGCATCCACACAGCAAAGGAAACTATCACCCAAAAAGGAGGTGACCTATTGAATGGGAGAAGATATTTTCAAGTTGTATGTCTGTCCAGGGGTGAATATCCAAAATATATAAAGAAATCATACAACTCACCAAAATACCAGATAATCAATACAGTTTTAAAAATGGGCAGAGGATCTGAATACACATTTTTCCAAAGATATGCACATGGCCAATAGACACATGAAAACATATTCAGTACCAGTGATCATTAGGAAAATGCAAATCAGAACCACAATGGCGTATCACCTTAGTTTTGTCAGAATGGCTTTTATCAAAAAGATAAAAAGCAGCAAGTGTTGGAGAAGCTATGGAGAAAAGGGGACCCTTGTAGACAGCTGGAATTATAAATTGGTGTGGCCACTTTGGGAAACAGTGTGGAGATTCCCCAAAAGGCTAAGAATAGAACCACCATTTCATCCACCTATACACTTCTGGGTATTTATCTAAAGAATTTGAGAACACTAATTCAAAAAGATGCTGTACCACTATGCCCACTGCAGCCTTATTTATAATCACCAGGGTGTGGAACAAACCGACATGTTCACTGATGGGTGAATGAATAAAGAAAACCTGGCATATACATACAGTGGAATATTATTCAGCCATAAAAAGTGAGATCTTGCTATCTATAATCATGTGGAGGGACCTTGAGGGTGTTATGCTAAATAAAATACCCTAGGGTTTCACTCATATGTGGAATCTAAAACAAGCACAAAAAAAAACATGAACAAAATAAAAAACCCTTATAGATAAGAAGAAAGATTGGTGGTTACCAGAGGGACAGAGGACTAGGGGATGGGTGAAAAGGGTGAAGAGAATCAATTTCCTGGTGGCGGATGGTAACTAGACTTCTGAGACTGATGCTGTGTAAGGTATAGATGTCAAACACCAAGGCTATACACATTAAAAAAAAAAAAAAGAACTGCTCCTAGAAGAGCGATCACTTGAACTGAAACTCAAAAGATCAGCTGGTGCAGAGGGAAACCTTCGCAGCACCCACCAGACATGCCACCTGCAAAGCCTCGAGCAACCCCCGGGGCAGTTAGCGCCAGGGCCAAGGGAAGGGGCTCCTACTGCCCAGGCAGGAGAGGTGGGCACAGCAGGGACCTAGCACCGCTGACCACCTGCCTCCGATTCACCTGGGGCCGGGCGCTGAAAATAAAAACCCTGGGCTCTCACCCGAAGCCCTCAGAAAATGGAGCCCTGTAATCTCCACTTAATAAGTTCTCCTGGAGACTCTCATTCACGCAGAAGTTTCAGAACCTGATTTATTTGAAACACCTGATGTGCCAGGGGGTGTTCTAAGCTGCTTTAGAATCATGAACACATTCAATCCTCCAAACACCCTTACTAGGTAAGTTATTATCACTGTTTTACAGGGGGGGAAATCAAGATATACAGAAGAGTAATTAAAAAAAAAAAACTTCATCCAAGATCATGGAGCTAATAAGGCATAGACCAGGTGGTCTGGTTTCAGAGTTCATGCTTTTAATCCCATGCTTTCTTTGCATTGATTTGGCATCTCTGCTCCATCTGCAGTCACAGCAAATTTGAGGCTCTGGGCAACTTGGAGTGTGGATGACACGTCCCTAAAGCAGCCCTGTGCCCCCCAGGGACAGACCACGCACGCAGCTGTGTCAGGGGAGGAGGAGAGCTGTGGTCTTTCACCCCTGGGGGCTGGAAACCACCGAGAAAAGTTGACCAGTTTGCAATGAGCCTTTTGGCCCTGGGGTTCAAAGCCCATGTTCCTCTCCTTTTTTATCTATGTTGTCGATGCCTGTTTCAATAGCTTCTGTTTGAGGACATGGAGCGAGAGAGCTGGAATCGGGGCTCGGCGCAGCCTGACCGGATGGCCAAGCCTGCCGAGCGATCCGCCCTCTCCTTGTGTCAATTCCAAAAGGCAGGGTTTGGAAATCAAGTCAACAGAGAGCGTCTCTTCATCTCCAAACAGTCATCCTGCGGTGTTTGGAGAGTGTTGGGCAAGGCCGGACCGAGGGGGTCAGGGGAAAAGTCAATTTTGCCTTTAAATCTCTAAGGCCAGGTTCTGGTCTCCACGCTTCCATCACACGCCTGCAGCTCACATCAGAAAGCAAACGCTCCAGGCTTGTGCGTCTGCCCCTCCCCGATCCACCCACCTGTGAGCTACCGTGGGCATCAGAGAATGTCCTGGAACATTCTGCCTTTCCCCTCACGCTAAGCAGAAAGTCTCGCTGCACAGACCGTCACCAAGCAACCTCTATTTGATGGTCCTGGAGTTCTTGTTCAAGGACAACTGCTCTCTAGCTTAAGCCAGTAAAGAAAGCACTGGAATCACACACGAAGTGAGAGAAATGGCCAAATGCCACGGGTCGGCATAGCAACCGTCTACTCAGAGGAGTTTAGAAATGGAACAGTAGGCAGTGCTTGTTCCAAACCCCTTGCTTTACAGATGAGGAAACAAAGGCTCAGAGAGGGGAGGTGTCTTGCCCGAAGCACCTGGCTCACAAGGGGAGAGAGTACCTCCAAGCCCACTTACCCCACACAGCCCTTCGCTGGCTTCTTGTCATTTGTCTTCAGATTTTCCCAGTTCACATTCTCAGGCATCCATTCAGCCTTTTATTTCTTCTCTG